GTTGCAACCTTTTTCTTCTATCAATATTTAAGTTTCATAAATCTTATAAAAATGCAAATAACAATATTTAGATCATAAATAACTTAACCAGTGAAAAGCAACCATGCTTCAGTAGCTTAAGGAAATGGGTCTTTGTGTTCTAAATCAAACAGATCTGGGCTTTGTTGAATTAGTGGGGGAAGGGAATTCCAAAGATTCCGGTCATTTTACATTTTTTGGAGAGAGCATGGCATATGTGCTGTTAGAAGGGTTTCATGTAATAGCATTTGTGACTATAAAACTCTTGCCAATATTTCAGAAAAGACTGTTCCTTAACTATTCCAGATTCAAACCCAAAGAGTCGAATGAAGTAAACAGAAAATTACTCTTGCCTGCAAGAGGTGTGGTGGGTTAAGGGGCACTGGACTCCCACACGGCCAACCACGATTCAAGTCTCGGACCTGGTGGCTTACTTTCTCACTTTCTTTCTCGCTTTGTACCTCTCTGGTCAAAATCAAAATAAATAAGTAAATAAATAATTCTTAAAAAAAAGAGTTTAAAAAAGAAAATTATTCTCAAGTTTTCTTTATGTTTTTCTGGAAACCAAGGACCAAAAACAAGTATTTTTTCCCCAACCAAAAATTTTTCCAGTAAAATTAACAGATTAATAAATACATAAAAGTACAAATTATCTATGAATCTATGATTTATTTATTTTTAAGAGAGATTTTTTGTTATAGGGTGTGTGCACTCGCCTCGGAGACAGACAGAAAGTGAGAAATCAACCCCCAGGGGATTGGCCACACCTCAATCCCTTCTCCATTTTCTTCTCAGTATCTTGGGCACACACACACACACATATGTGCCTGGTGTGAGTTTTAAAGGGTCCGGGACTAACTTATGTGGGAGTCCAGTGATGTAACCATTATGCCAACTGCTGGTTCCAGATCTGTAGTAGTTTATTTTTTTATTATTATTATTATTATTTTTTTAGAGGTTTTTGCTACAGGGCCCATGCACTTGCCAGACAGAGAGAGACAGAAAGTAAGAAATCACCTCCCAGGGGGGATGGCCACACCACAGTCCCTTCTCTGTTCCCCTCTTGGGATCTTGGGCACACACGCACATGCGCCCAGCATGAGTTTTAATCCACCAGGTCTGTGATGTGAACCACGATCGACTACATGGGAGTCAGTGACATAGCCATTATGCTAACTGCTGGTCCCACTAGTATTTTAAAGACTTCTAAAATAATGTTAAAAACATTTAAGTAAAATAAGCTACAAAGTATGACAGGACTTCAAAAACTCGATAGAAAATTGGAGATTCAGTTTTGAGTTTATTTTGTTGCCCAAAATTTTGAACTCCACACATTGTTTTTTGAAATATGCATTTTCAAATGAACTTTCTGAAGAACCTCTCATAGTCTTAGATCTTGTCAACCTAAAGTGGGCTGTTCATTTTAATAATTATTCCATCTACCAATACTGATTTCTATGTAACAGAAATAAATCTAAATTCACAGGTAGAAGTTTTACATTTAGATTGTATTTTCATTTGAATTAACTTTAACTTAATCCCAAGAATTTTTGGAAATTGGATTCTTTAAGTAAAGATGGAACATACTGATAGCTTTTAGCAGTGACTGACTGTAGGGATTTGAACATAATCTGAATCTTCCTCTGTTCCACCAGAAGGGGGCAGCAAAGCAAACCAAGAGGCAATTTATGGGTCAAAAATACCTGGAAAGACACTCAAAATTCAGACCACCAGTAGCCCAAAAGCTTTTTTGGGTGCCTTCACTATTGAGGAATGTTTATGAAGGCCCTAGTTCCAAGTGCCCACTTGGGAAGAAGCTTGAGCAAATCTTAAGAGTATTAATACACTTTCATTTAGACTTAGAGCTTGCTCTATCTAATGTAAGTAATATGTACGTATATGAAAATGATTAACTCTGCTGAATGCTTACCATGCATCAGGAATTCTTCTAATCTCTGTACACATACCTTATTCATTCCCCAAAAATCTAGTGAGGTATAGGTACTACCCCTTATTATGGCAGAATTCAAGAAATAAAATTTAAGCCAGCTCTTACTCTGAAATCCCCACTGTGAGCTACTGACCCAATTATATGCTTCTATTTTATTTTTATTTTTTATTTTTAAAAAAACAATTTTAAGGATTTTGCCATAGGGATTGTGTACTTGGCTGAAGAGACACAGTGAGGAAAAGTGAGAAATCACCCCCTGGGAGGACGGCCATGTAACAATCCCTTCTCCATGCTCCTGGGATTTTGGACATGCATGCACACTAGCGCAACCTGATTTTTTTTTTTTTTTTTTGAGAGGTTTTTGCTATAGGGCACGTGCGCTCGCCAGACAGAGAGACAAAGAGACAGAAAGTGAGAAATCACCCCCCAGGGGGGATGGCCACGCTGCAATCCCTTCTCCATTCTCCTCTCGGGATCTTGGGCACACACGCACACGTGCCTGGCATGAGTTTTAAGCCACCGGGTCCGGGACACAAACCGCGGTTGACTACATGGGAGTCCAGCGACATAGCCATTATGCTAACTGCTGGTCCCCTCACAACCTGGTTTTCAAGCTGGCAGGTCCAGGACTTAATGTGCAGCCTGCTTTGTGGGAGTCCAGTAGTGTAACCATTACGCCACCTACTGGACCCTGCCTCTAGATTTTAAGCAAGCTAGGAGTGTAGGCTTTAATGGGTAAGAAACTTGTGTGTGCTAGTTAAGTGTCACCCGTATCTTTAAGACTTACAGCCTGGAAACTAATGACAGACATCTGCATGCTTTTCCTCACTGATTCTAGGGCACAACAGGATAAACATTATGGGAACAGAAGCTGAAATCTAGAATTTTGGTTTGGTCATCGTGGTCTTTTACTGTGGTGGGTTGGAAATCATGGCCACTGTATTTGGCAGCTCCTCCCATCAAGGTGGAGTTTCCCTATCCTGGTATCTGAGCTGGCTTTGTGCCTTGCTTTAACCAATAACATGCAGCAGATATGTTTCAGGGCCAATTCTAGACCTTAGGAAACCTGGCTACTCCAGTCTCTCAGGATCCTGCTGACAATTATAGAAGCTGAGGAAAAGCTGTGGAAGAATGAGACACCAATTGGGAGATCTCCAGTTTACTCGAGCCACACCACATGGTGATCCTTCTCTGAGCCTTCCAGAACCAAGAAGTCATTAAGTGTGGTAGAGCCATGATGTTTTGCAATAATTTATTAGGTAACATAAGTGAAGCAATTACAGTAATGGAGAATACAATGTTCAGTATTTAATTACAAATTTTTAATGTAAACTCTGCTTTTTTTCCTACTTACTATCATATTTCCACTGTCCACAAGTATATAGAATGGATTCTTTCTATGGTGTCTTTCCTCTTTTCTTTCCACAGTATAAAGTTGCTAATAAATAGTGAAATGTCAAAAGTCTGTAGTTAAGGAATTTCCAAAGTCTTAAACTTTACTTAATTAGAAACATTTAAGAAAACTCTGTAAGAAGCCCCTAGGTCATGTATCTGAACTCCAAAATAAATGGGCACTCTACTAGTCCTTTTAGCAATTAAGGTTTTAAGGCTGTAATGATATACACAATGATTCCTATTATGAAAAGTCTTAAGCCCGTGCGTGACTGGGAGCTGGCACAGATCTAAACAGATCTAATTTTTTTCCTTTTTCCCCCATGCTTCAAAACAGTTGTTTGAGTATATCTGATTGGTTGTGCTATAACTACTGCCTACAACTTATTTATGTAGCAGGCATTCAGGTAGGGCTTACTGCGTTCACAACATTGTTGTAGATGACTCATGAACTAGGCACTATCTTCATTCTCCACTTTATAGATGAGGAAATCAAGGTACCGAGGGAAGATAAGTAACTTGCCCAGGGTTACAATACAGGCAAATTTTGATCTCTCTATGCTGATGGAAGATGGAGAGAAAGCAGAACTGGAGTTAGATGGTATTATTTATTCAGCAATAGTTTTAGTTAGAGTAATTATTCCCAGGAAAGTAACCAGAAGAGCAGGGAGGTCTTAGTGTGTGGCATTTGAGATCCATGATAATGGCTCCAAGTTTTCCAGCCTTACCAGGCAGCACTGCCCTCCCACCCAGACTAGAGAAACTACAGGAATGAATTCCCAAACACACCCTGTAATTTTACATCTCTGTGCTTTGCTCCTTTAGTCCCACCCAATACCCACCCCTGCATACAGCACTCACCACCGTCTTCAGATGGAAAGTGGAGTTGCATACCTATTAAATGCCATCAGAGGCCAGCAGTCATAGTTTCTTCATAAAGCCTTTCTCTTTCTTAATATATCACTTCCTTGACCTCGAGCAGTATCAACTGACTTTCATCAAGACTTCTTAGCTCTTGTAATTGATGCACTTTTTTCCAAAGAATTTTTTTTTCTATTGCCAGAGAGCACATGTGCTCACCAGAGACACCTAGACAGAGAGAAAGCACCGTCAATGGGGCATGGTCATGCCACAGTCCTTTTCTCTTCTTTTCTCTATCCTACCAGAAGTTTGGGAACATACACAAGCATCTGGCATGTTTTTCAAGCTGCTGTGGTAGGATTCAGACCATATTGGGCCATGTGGGATCCAGTTCCCTAAATAGGATGCTTAGCCTTTGAGCTTTAGGGCTGCCGCTCCACATCATTTTAAACGAGCTGTTTATAAAAAAAATCTTTCACATTAGCTGGCAAGTTCCTTGAGGGCTTAACCCAATTTTCTGCTTACAGGTGGACCCAGAGACACATTATTTGCACTAAATTTGCCAGAATGGAGGTGGAATTTGGTCAGGATGAGGAGGGCAACCTTTTCACATTTGATTCATGTTTGGTAAACTTTAGAGACATGCAGAGGTATCCTTTCTGGTGTGACCTCAGCGCAGTATCATTTTCATCGATAAAAGCACTCTAACATCTTAAATTCACACTAGAAAATTATACAGCAATTGCATATAAGCAAGATAAAAGGAGAAAGACTACATTGTCCCTGACCCAAGTAGAGTGGCTTTTGGCTGGCAGTGCCCATCTCCCATCAGCCAGGGACAAAGCAACCCCTTGTTTACCCCAGCTTGATTTTTGGTCAGTACCTATGCCTGGTTCATGCCTTGAACATGAAAAACAACCTGGACATATGACTCAGTTTACCAACATCTTTTAAATTGCTTACAAAGTGCTCAGTGTAGCAAAGATGAGCAGTTACCAGTTAATATGTTCACTGTAGGTAGACAGCTAAAGCCAACTGGAGCTGCAGTTCCCCAGGGGAACTATTCAGTCATCCCTTTAATCACCTACTGTAATTACCAATTTTCTATTAAACAGAGATGCTACAGTTTTCCTTGGGGAAAACATTATTTAGTGTATCTATTTTTTCATTTATTATCATTTTTTTAGTTTGCTTTAGGGCATGTGCACTAGCTAGAAAAGACACAGAGGGAAAGTGAGAAAGCACTCCCCAGAGCTCATGGCCAGGCTGAAATCCCTTCTCCTTTACTCAACTCTTGGGAATTTGGGCATGCATGCACAAGCACCTGGCATGTTTTGTTGAGTAGTTACGAGCTTTGAAGTGTCACAAACCACTGTAATATCTAAGATTTTTTTTTTTTTTCCTCACAAAAAGAAAATTTCAGAATACAAGTCCTAAGCCCAATGACAGAATTGGAAAGGTAAGATTGGAGCCATCTAGTGTTGGGGCACTAACAGGCCAAGAGCCACCCTTTTGGGTATGTCTGATAACATCAAGACTCAGTGTGCTTCTCACTTCTATCTCGCTATGTTTTGGATTTGTCCTCATCTTTATAATAATAGACAAAAACTGCCCTCTCATAGCTTCAGGGGCAAAGGAACATCTGTGAAAATGCCTTGAATATCTAATGTTTATGGTACCTTGCAAACCTGTTTTCTTCAAATGAGATGTTAATCATTTACCTTCCCTATGAGCTAAGATGCCATATGGTTCTTTCCCTCAGAAACTGCCTGCTTCATTGTTCCTTCCTAGACATACTAATTGGAGAGACAGACAGAAAGCAAGAAATCAACAAATCAACTCCTGGGGGATGGCCATACCACAATCCCTTCTCTCAGGATTTTGAGCATGCTTGCACATTCACATGCCATGAGTTTCAAGCTGCCGGTTTGGAGATTTGAATTGCAGTCAGTCATGTGGAAGTCCAGCATCTTAACCATTATGCCACCTGTCTTTTTTTTTGTTTTTATCAACTTTCTGTTTTGGAGAGATTTTTATTCTCAGGCATGTGTGCTTGCCAGACAGAGAATGAGAAATTATTCCCTGAGTGGATGGGCCTTCTCCCCAGGAGAACTATAGGGATTTTGTGATGCATGCACATGCACCCGATATACGTTTTAAGTTACCAGATTCAGAACTTGAACCACAGTCAACTATGTGGGAGTTCAGTGATGTAACCATTACACCGTATCTGCTCGCATTTTTTTTTTTTTTTTGAGAGAGAGATTTTTGCTATAGGGAATGTGTGCTCATCAGAGAGACAGAAAGCGAGAAATCACCCCCTGGGAGAATGGCCATGGCACAATCCCTCCTTCATTTTCCTCTCAGGGTTTTGAGCACCTATACACTCCTGCCCAATATGAGTTTTAAGCTGCTGGGTCCAGGACTCAAGCTGCAGTCAACTATGTGGGAGTCCAATGACATAACCATTATGCCATCTGCTGGTCCTGCTGGTCACTTTTTATCAACTTTCAAAAAGGCTATAATAGGTGTTTCTAAAACCTTAATGAGCACTACAGTATATTTTACGTATATTGTAGAATGAGTATAAAGATGAAATTACATAACAGAGGTAAAATGCCTTGCACAATAAGTTGTCTGTCCAGTATAAAACAAAGAACCATATGGGGCCAGCAGCTGGTGTGGTGGTAAGTTGCTGGCCTCCCACATGGCCGACCAGTTTGAGTCCTGGACCGGGTGACTTAAAAAGTATGCTGGACATGTGTGTGTGTGTGCATGAGTGCTCCAAAATAATGAGAAGAATGGAGAGAAGGGACTGCTGTGTGGCCAGGCCCTCGGGGTGATTTCTCACTCTCTCTTTTCTCCTCAGTGAGTGCATGTATCCTATAGCTAAAAAGAAAAAAAAAAAAAAGCTATGAATCAATTATAGAAGAAATTATAACAATCTAAAAGAGCAAAAGGTCTATTGTAAATATGATTTGAGTGATGGTTGCCATACCACAATACCATTATCTCACCTAAAAAAAACAATAATTCTCTAACATGATTATCCAAAATTGTCTGAGTCTTATAAAATGTTTGACAATTGCTTAGTTTAAAACAAGATTTATACAAGGTTCCTACACTGCATCTACTCTGTCTTGTAAATCTTATTTTAGGTTCCCTTCCCTTTTTTCCATTGTCATTTATTTGTTGATAAACTGTGCCATTTGTCTTGTGGAGTTCCTTACACTCTGGATTTTGCTGACTGCGTCTCTGTGGTGATGATAACACATTCCTCTAGCTCTTTAGATCTGGAGGCTTGCTCTGATTCGGGTGTGATTGTTTCTGGCAAGAATCCTTCATAAGTGCTGCAGTCTGCATCCTGTTGTACCTACCAGGAGACTCATTGTATCTTGGAGTCTCAGTGGTGATACTGATGAGTGTGTTTCAGGTATCTTCAGCCCAGACTGTAAGTTCCAACAGCCTTAAATCTAATGCCATCCTCCTCTTTACATGCCTTCCTAGGCTTGTAGTCTCTAAGACTAAAAGTGTGTTTTTCAGAATCCCTTGCTGCTACAATTGTGGAAGTGCTTTAAATTAAGAAGTGGGAGGGGGAGGTTAGGAGGTAATGAGGCATTGATGTTGATTGGGTGCATTACAGGGAAGGTGATGTGGCTCTGGGACTAGTGGCTGGAGGGAGGCTTCTACCTCAGCAAGTGACTTCCTGAATGTGACATGAGCAGCACTTCTTTGATAGGTAGATATGTGGACTGGTGGGGCATTCCAGAAGCTCAGCCTACAAGTGTCTTTAGCCCTGCCAACCTGTTGTAATATAGGAATCATGCAGTGAGTGACATTTTTATAAAGGTAAATTTATCCAGTTTAGTTATATTTCCTCTTTTCCTTGATTTATGACTTTCCTACTTACCTTGGTGTTAAAATGCCCTTTTTCTGAATAGTGGGAATGAATAAGTTTTTTTTTTTCACTTGGCTTAAACTAGTTAAGGGAAGATTTTTGTTCTCTGCACTGTATCTTTACCAAGGCATCTCCTCTAAGAAAAAGTATTGTCAAATAATTGTCTCTTTAATTGAAAAGAAAAGTAAATTCAGTTAACTTGTTAATAATTTCTTAAATTCATAAGATAATATTCTAGGAAGATATGCCTTTTTGATAAACTACTCATATAGCTACTTCAGTCTAGACCTTCTAAAATAAATAGAAGTATTTCATAAATATTTAAAAATGAACCCATGTTCATCATTGAAGACTATTTTTTTGTTTCTGTGTTTTTTGTTTTTTTGGGTTTTTTTGCTATAGGGCATTTGCAGGGGAGAAAGCACCCCTCAGATGATGGCCATGCCGTAATCCCTTATTCTCATCCTTCTCTTGGGATTTTGAGCACCGATGCTCATGTGCCTGGTGTGTTTTCCAAGTCACTGGGTACCCGCTTTGTACTGTACAGTTGGTCACGCAGGATCAAGTTGTCTTAACCACTAAGCCACCAGCTGACCCTTTGAAAGGTAATTTAACAAAATTTACAATAATATCAAATATAAGGTATAAATTTTCAGTCTTGCAAGAGGTTTTTATTCAACGTTTTATTATATAAGTGTTTAAACACAGAAATGTTGAAAGAATTATACAGTGACCCATACACCTGTCACACCTAGATTTTACAATTAACATTTTTATATTTGCTTTATCACGTATCTAACCATCCATACATCTGTACACCCCTGATTCCCTCCATCAACCCATTTATTTTTTTTGATACATTTCAAAGTAAGTTGCAAACATGAGTATACTTAACACCTGAACACTTCTGCAGAGGGGTAGGGTATTTTTTTTTTTTTTTTGGAGAGGTTTTCGCTATAAGGCGCGTGCGCTCGCCAGACAGACAGAGAGAGACAGAGAGACAGAAAGCGAGAAATCACCTCCCAGGGGGGACGGTCACGCCGCATTCCCTTCTCCTCCATTCTCCTCTCGGGATCTTGGGCACGCACACACACGCGCCCGGCAGTGAGTTTCAAGCCACCGGGCCCGGGACGCTAACCACAGTCGACTACGTGGGAGTCCCGCGACATAGCCATTACGCTAACTGCCGGTTCCCAAAGGGTATTTTTCAGATAAAATATTTAGCCACTGTAGGACTTCCAAATGCCATAAAATGCATTAGAACACAAATTAACTGGTAGTCCCAAAGAGCGACAAACTAGAAAAAATTAAAGGATGGAGTTGTGAATGGCATCAACTGGAGTGAGAGATCAGTCTGAAATCTAGCAGGAACACGGTGACTCTTTTTCACCTTTACCCTCAAACTTCCTTTCCTTTTTTTTCCACAGCTACTTTAATTATAAAACTGAAAATATACCACTGTCCCCCTTTCCCTTCAAATGATTTGTGCTATTGAAGAGAGCAATTCTTTAGATCGGAAATTCAGATGACTTGACCAAGTCAGGATATTAAATTTGTGAAAATTAACTGATAACATGAATTGAATGTTTGTTAATTTGTTGACTGTTACTCTCCATGGTGACAAAAACTTAGTATATCACTTGTCCCCTGAATGTAGACAGAAAGAACACTGCCTTGCATGTATTGTGCTCAATAAATATTGACTGAAGCAATGAGTAATTTCAAGTGCTCAATCCAAATAACAATCTTTACAAATGGAATGTCATTGCAAATCAAGGTTAAGACAGCTTGCTTTGAAACAAAATAGTTTTCAAAATAGCTATATAAGACACCATTGAATTTCGAAGTGAAAAAAATCTGAAATGTAACTTTTTTCAAAAACACATGAAGAAATCTTGAGGATTCCAATGGGAAATTCTCTTTAAAAAATAAAAAGAAAAAAGAAAATAAGAGCATAGATTGATTACCCTAGAGTTGAGGTGGCAAACTAGGTAGAAATGACCCTTTCTTTCCATAGGTGCAGCAGGAAAGTCAGCCTAACCCTCCTTTACATTTCCCAGTGGGGATCAGCTAATGTGGGCGGTCCTACAGAAGCCTGCTGGTGGGGACAGAGGCACCACTGCCTTCTGGTGGGGACCATAAGGAAGGCTTCCAGAACATTTGAGTGGTTTTAAACAAACACTGAGGCTTTATGAAAGCTATGTTTCCTTTTTAATGGAGCTAGATGTCTTCTGTAAATCCATGGAATTTGGGTTGTTGTGGTTAAATGTCCATCCCCTTCTATGCCAACAAATTAGTGGTACTTGAGGAAACTCAGATATATTCCAACTTTTAAGTTAGCTTAAAAAATATTTGGCAGAGGGTACTGAGCTTGCCAGAGAGAGACTGAGAAGGAAGTGAGAAAGCACCCTCCATAGGGAGTGGTCGCACTGCAATTTCTTTCTTCCATTCTCCTCTTGGGATTTTGGGCATGCACACACAGAACCTGGTGTGACTTTCAAGCTGTTGGATCCAAGTCTTGAACCATGGAGGCTGGTCATGTGCAGAGCTGGCTATGGGGAATCCAGTGCCTTAACCACCATGCCATCTGCTGGCCCCTTTCTTCTTCTTCCTTCTTCCTCCTCCTTTCTTCTCTCTTTTTTTTTTTTTTTGCCATAGGGCATATGTGCTCACAGGAAAGAGACAGAAAGATGGAGTGAAAAATCACTGCCCAGTATGAACACACTGCAATCCCTTCTCCATTCTTCTGGGATTTGGCGCATGCCATTTATGTGCCTTGTGTGATTTTCAAGCCTCTCACACTTGGGACACACACACACACACACACACACACACAGAGCTTGGCATGATTTTTCAAGCTGCTGGGTCCAAAACTCAAACCACAGTCAGCCATGTGGGAGTCCTGCACCTTAACCACTATGCCACCTGCTGGCCCCTTTTCTTTCCTTTTTAAAAGACAGTTCTCACCAAGTACTTATCCTCCTGCCTTAACTTCCCCGCTGGGACATTTACCACCATGCCTGACTTTGTCAGACAGGATCTCCTGTTACCCAGGCCAGCCTTGAGTACACAATTCTCATGCCTCAGCCTCCCTGAGTAGCTGCAATTAACAGGTGGACATCAACATGTCTGGCAAGGTGATAATTTTCTTTGATACTTCCATGGTCTTGAAGGACATTTCTATATTCAGCACAAGTTTACCAAGCTAAATATACCTCATATGGCTATTAGGAGAATTTAAAAGATATATATTTTTTCTCTACAGAATGAGACAAATTACTTTGTGGTTGTTTCTGTAGACAGCAAACTAAATAGTAATGTCAAATATGTCAAATGAATCATTTCTCTTTTTACAGATCATAATGGCAATGTTCTAGGTGGGGATTTAGGAGTGCCAAGAATAGAGAGAATGGGACCAGCAGATGGCGTTAATGGTTACATCACTGGACTCCCATGTAGTCAATCGTGGTTGAGTCCTGGACCTAGCAGCTTCAAACTCATCCTGGGTGCACATGTGTATGTGCCCAAGATCCTGAGACAAGAATGGAGAAGGAATTATGGCATGGCCATACCCCTGGGGGGGGTCATTTCCCGCTACATGCCCTACAGCACAGGTCTCTCAAAATAAACAAACTAATAAAGACTACAAAGTCACTTTTTATTTCATACTCAAAGCCTTTGGAAACATTTCTATGAGATGGAAGTATGCAAGAATATAAGGTATATGCCCTTTCTGTATCATAAAATTCAGTGTAAGAGGTTAGATATACAAAGCATTATCTTGTTACAGCTAGTGTTGCTTTCTCACTAAAGACATGTATGATTCATGGGCCAGCAGATAGTGTAGCAGTTATATCACTGGACTCCCACATGACTGACCACAGTTTGAGTCCCAGACCTGGTGGCTTGAAAATCACACTAGGTGTGTATGTATATTTGTGTGTCCAAGATCCCGAGGGGAAAATGGAGAAGGGATTGTGGTTTGGCCAACCCCCTGGATGGGGAGTGATGTTTCACTTTCCCTTTTCACTATCTCTGTCTTTCTCTTTAGGTAGCAAATGTACTACCCTTAAAAAAGAAAAGTATGATCGCTTCTCGGCCTTTTGGCTAAGATCAAGTATGATTCACAGACCACCCCTCCACAAAGACTTTCACACAGACCAGTAATGTCCGTACTTCCAGAATACCTAGAGAAAATACTTCCGAGTAGTAACCAGAGGGTCACTGTTGGTTTAATTTGGTCATCAGAAAAGTCATGACACATTTTTGCACAGAAAAACATAAAAAAAGTCAGGACTTTTTCTGACAATCCAATAGAATATGATAGAATTCGAGCACTAGGGTTGGTTGTATGGCTGGTGGTTAAGGTAGCTGGATACCAAATGGCTGACTGCCTGCTAGTCCCAGACCCCGTGGCTTGAGAAACACAATGCACACATGCCTAAAACCCTAAAAGGAGGGACAGATAGAGAAGAAGGGATTGTGGTGTGAACATTACCCATGGGGAGTGCTTTTTCCTCTCCCTCTCTCTCTGGTGAATGCACGAACCCACTGTCCCCAAAGACTGGAAGTATTAAAGAACAATTTTTAATTTTTTATTCCACATTAGTGCAAAGAATGGATGATGTTTATTTATAAATGTATTCCCATAGATGTATCCAGATTTGGGAGAAAAAAGTGTAACTCAAAACAATTTTGTAGGTAAATGAAGAAAACATCACAAAAATATTTTTGTTAAATGTTCACATAATAATGTTAAGAATATAAAAATAATGAAGTTATATAAAGATCACTAAAATACAGTCCATTACTTTTTTGTAGAATTAATTTTATCTTTTTTTTAATTCACAATGAAGCATGTGCACTCACCACAGAGAGACAGAGAGAGAAAGTAAGAAAGCAGTCTGCCAAGGTCTGGGACTCAAACTGTAATCAGCCATGTGGGAGTCCAGCACCTCTAAATGCCACACCAGCTGCTGGTCCCCAGTCCATTTAATTTTAAAATGTCGTGATTTTGCACTGGCACCTAGCACAGTGATTAAGCAATGTGCAGAGGGAGCCAGATCCTGTATGGCCAACCATGGTTTAAATCTTGGCCTTGGAAACTTGAAAAAACACCTGACATCTGTGTGTGTGCCCAAGATCCTAAGGGAATGGGGAAATGGAGGAAAAACAGATTGCAGTATGGGCAGGCCCCACTGGGGGGCCTCTCTTCTACTGTTTCCTCTCTTTCCAGTACATGCACATGGACCATTTGACATTAAAAAATTTCCCCCTCAACCTCTACTCCACTCATTAACACTAATAAAACAAGTAAGCACTATTGAAAAGGACATAAAAATCTTTTTGTTAAAATAAACGCATAAAATTGGTCATTTCTCCCGTGTTATTAATGTAAAGACAATTTTTACATTATGTTGAGAGCTACCATAACACCTAGAACTGTAACAATAATGTTCACAGACATTAACGCTATGTAATGTAGATGTTGATTCACTATCATTCATAATTCCATCTTCTGTCCTTGATCATGGGTAAAGTTTTAAAAAGTAGACTTAAAACACAAATATCATTTGAAATGGCCATAAAAATAGGGCGTGGTTTATATATAAATCCTTTCATTCTGGCTATATTTTTATCCCTGTCTCAGAAAATTATATTGCTGGGACCAGCAGTTAGTGTAATGGCTATGTTGCTGGACTCCTACATAGTCTACTGCGGTTCACCTCCCGGACCCGGTGGCTTAAACTCACGCCGGGCGTGTGTGCATGCATGCCCAAGATTCCAAGAGGAGAATGGAGGAGAAGGGATTGCGGCGTGGCCATCCCCCTGGGGGTGATTTCTTGGTTTCTCTCTCTCTGTCTTTCTCTGTCTGTCTGACGAGCACATGCGCCCTATAGCAAAAACCTCTCAAAAAAAAAAAAAGAAAGAAAGAAAATTATATTGGGACAAATGTCAAAAAGTGAATTTTTAAATCCCTTGTAAACCTGTGTGTGTGTATGTGTGGATACCTACGTATACCCAGATAAATAGTTTAAAACTTTGGTACCTTATTATATAGGTAAATTACTTGTACACCTCCTATCAGAATGTGCCATACCAGTGTGTTGTTTTGATAGGGTTGCCAAGGTACTGGGCCAAAGGACATCGAAGAAAATGATGTAGAAGAGGTATCCTCTGACAGAGAATTTCCTAGAGCAAGAGTAAAACACAATCCATATATACCCAGGGTGTTTTAAGTTAGGCATTGTGTGCTTAAGGATCAGCATTTTCATTCCATCATTTACTAGACTGGAATGATCATGGAATTTGGAGTTTAGTAAGAGGGTAAATAGACTAGTAAAGGTAGGCTAAATATACTTCACCAGCAACCATAGTTGCAGTAAGTTACTGGGAATGTCTGTTTTCCCTGTAGACTTCCTAGGAGACTGCTGGGAAGTTGGTTTTTAGTACATCGTTGCTTTTTCTTTTTTTTTTTAAAGAATTATTTAATTTTATTTATTCATTCATTCATTTTAATTTGACTAGAGAGAGACACAGAGAGAGGGGGTAGGGGAAGTGAGAAAGCAAGCCACCAGGTTCGGGACTCGAACCATGATCGGCCATGTGGGAGCGTCCAGCGCCTTAACTACCATGCCACTTGCTGGTCCCTTACATCGTTGTTTTCTTAAACCATTTTCATGTGTGTATGCCATAGGCCACATGCACTTGGAGAAAGAGAGACAGAGAGATAGAGAGAGGAAAAGTAAGAAATCACCCCCCGGGGTGGGGGGGCAGGGGATGGCCATGCCACAGTCTCTTCTCTTCCATTCTTCTCTCAGGATTTTGGGAACACACGCATACGCATCATCATGATTTTTCAAGCTGCCAGACCTGGGCCTTGAACCGTGGCTGGCCATATAGAAGTACAGCACCTTAACCACCACACCACCTCCTGGCTCCCTCATACCATGATTAACACTTGGATTTATATTTCATCATTTGTATATCTTTTTCTCTCCTTCCCTGATTGTACCATCCAGTAGGGCAGTGGTTGTGTCTTATCTGTCTTTTATTTTTAAATTTTTAACTTTATTTATTCACTTATTTTAATTTGACCAGACAGGGAGAGAGTGAGACAAAGAGAAGGAAGGTGAGAAAGCAAGCCACCAGGTTTGGGACTCAAAACTGTAGTTGGCCATGTGGTAGTCCAGCACCCTCAACCACTGTGCCACCTGCTGGCCCTGTGCCTTATCACTTAGATTCCCTGCAGAGCCTCACACCAGTGTCCATGGTATAGAACTCTGAGCTACTGAGGAAGAACCAAGAACCGTCCCAACAAGAGCATGTGAATTTTCTTCTTCAGACCATAGCGGAGACTCCTGCTTTGTGGAATTTTCTTGGTGTTTCCTAGTTTATTAGCAAGGTTCTCCAGCCAACTGAAAAGCCTCTGATATCTTTTCAACAAATTCTCCTTTGTTTAAGTAGCTGAAATAATAACTTTCCAATGCTTACAACCAAAGAACTCTGACAGGAGAGAACAGAGGCAGCCTGCTTCTCCCAGGTTTGGCAGTCTCTCCTGGTACCTCCATGTGCATCCTTACTTCCAATTTGCAGCGTGGAAGTATTCAGACTCATTGAAGATCTTGTGAATGACCACAAGGACCAGCTTCACTTTTGTACCAATTGCTCGTGGGACAATCTTTAAAGAAAAAAATGTGTGATTTCTTCATCTTTTGACATTGCTGCTGAAGTGCAACGAATGAGGAAGTACTAGCTAAGTCAGTCACACATGAAACAAAGCCAATGCAACCCAACAATTATGGCTGGTGTTATGTTGGCTGAGTCTTTGCTCTGTTGAAATAAAAGACAGATACTTTATGGGATTGTACTAAGGCATATGTGTAAAACAGGAGAGAACCAATTATTTTTGCTTTATTTGGCATTGGGCAGACTTCAGTTGGAAAAACTATGTAATTCTATGTGCCATGCTGTATAAAGAGAAAAAACTTGGAGAGTGTTCAGAAGAGTAACTGATTAAAGGTTTGCGAAATTAGACCTATGAGAAATCGTTAAAAGATCTGGACATGTTCAGTCAAATGCAAGACATTCAAGCATGATGAACAATTAACTGTAAGTATGTGAAGAGATGGTTCCAACGCTGAGATTTAGGGTAAGCAGAAAGCCAATCATAGGATTAAGAAAACGAAACAAAAAAAAAAAGACATACTGGTAGAATAGAGACTATTCTGGAAACAAGCTACAAAACTTCTAAGATTTTTTTGCCTTAGGGCATGTGCATTCTCACCAGAGAGGGCCAAAGAGAGAAGGAAAGTGAGAAATCCCCCTGGGGGGGTGGGGGGATGGCTACACTGCAGTCCCTTCTTTCCTCCTCAGGATTTTGGGCACACATGCACAATGCGCCCAGCATGATTTTCGAGCCGTTTAGTCTGAGAATTAAACAACAGTTGGTCATGTAGGAATCCAGCACTTTAACCACCACACCACCCACTGGCCCTGTGAAGAATGTTTTTTAAGAAGACATATTGGGAGCTCCCTTTGGGACCCAGTTATCAGGAACACAGAGGAGATCATACTAGATCTCACAGCAACTGGTAAGGGGTGGAACCAGTGTGTATATGGGGGAGGGAGGGAGTATGGGGGAGAGCCAGTAAAAGGAAAGGCAGTTTGGTGAGCAGCTTTTGTGGCATCTTACAGTTTATCCAAAAATAAAGATTCTCCAGGAATCCCCACCATGAGATACCTGATTCTCTCCAGAATGGTCCTGAAACTATTCTTTCTCTTCTTCCAATGGCCACAGTTTATTTCTTAAAATGTCTTCTGCCTTTTGGAGGCCTTGTCAGGCAAAGCATGCAGATACATATTTATCCTCCAGGTCATACTTTTCACCTCTTTTTACAAGCAAAGGGAGAGAAGTGAAACCACCAAGTTTGCATTACTTTATCTTAATGCTGTTCTATTTTAGCCTGATGGTGATTTATTTTTTTATCTCAGGTACAGATATTCTAACTGTAATTTCATTTACTGTTCTAGTTCCCTCTATGTTTGGTGCCTGAACCCTGCATTCATCTGCTTATGCTATTCCCCCCAACTCCCTGCTTTTCTTCCCTTTTCCCTTCTTGGTCCTGAGCTGTTATATATATTCCAGTACAATTTAAATTTCCTTTCTAAATCCTCCCAGTGCCTATTTCACTACCTAAGTTCTCTCTTCACTCATCCTTCTCTAGACTAATCCATTACTTTTCTTCCTCCAAGGAACTCTAATTCTTCTCTTCCCTTATGCCAATTCCACAGCACCTGCCTCAGCACAACTGACAAGCATTCATGAGCAAGTCAGTCACTGCTGAGTTCTCATGATTTTCACACCCTAAGAAGCCCAGATCCAAGTTGTAAAGGCAGAGCGCATAGGACCTTGAAGGATGCCATACCAGCAGCTATGGTGACAGCAGTATAGCACGCCATAGGGCTTCACAGGGAAGGTCCTTTTCAGGCAAGGTCCTGTGGGACATTCTTATGACGCTGTTAATAATAGCAAAGTCCCATATAGTATTGGGGCCTGCCAGGCCTGTGGAAGAACCATGATAAAGCAAGTGGGGTGTATGGAATACAATATTAAATAACTGGTGAAATGGAATACAGTTTCAGTTTTATAAAATAAAGAGAAACTTTGAGGCTTAGTTTCTTGTTTGGGCCCCATACTAATCTGCCTTTATCATCTTGTTTTGATGTCTTTCTGATGGAAATCTTCTTACTATTGTTATGTTATTACTGTGTGTTCCTGTCAAATAAGATACATCTTCAGAAAATAGAAGCATGTTTTAAGACCAATCTCATAGCACAATGGTTAAGTGCCATACATAAGGACATGGATCTCACATGGCCATGGCAGAACACAGTTAAAATTCTGGTCCTGGCAGCTTAAAAAACATGTTGGGGTTGGGACCAGAAGGTGGTGTGGTGGTTAAGGTGCTGGATACTCCCATATGGCTAACCCAGCTCAAATACTGGACCTGGTGGCTTGCTTTTTCTCTCTCTCTCTGGTCAAATTAAAATAAATGACTGAATAAATAAAATTAAATAAGTAATTCTTTAAAACACACACACACATACACACACACACACACAACAACAACAAAAAAAAACACACAGGCTGGGCTTCTATGCATGTGTGCCCCAAGTCCTGGCAGGATGGAGAAATGGAGAAAAAAGGACTGCGATTTGATCATGTTCCACTGGAGAGGTTTTTTTTTTCTCTCTCTTTTACAAGTGCCTTCTGAAAAGAAAGAAAGAAAAAAGTAAAGAAAAATGTTTCAAGAATTGAAAACCATACATTGGGTTGTCTAGAAAGTCATGATGTATTTTTGCGTAGGACAATATATCATGACTTTCCTGATGATCTAATACAATTTATTACAATTCTGGAAAGTGAAGTCTTTTAATTATTACATGATTAACTAGTTAACTCTTATTTTTTAAGCTGTAATTTAAATTTAAAATGCAGTGTATTCACATGGTGTAAAAATCAATAGCCACAAGAGGCTATCCAATGGGAATTTCCCTCTGCTATGGTTTGAATATGTCCCCCAAAATCCATGTACTAATATTTGGTGAGATACTGCAACAATATTGAAAGGGTAGAGAATTAAATCTGATAATGGTGTTGAAAGGGAAGGCCCAGGACCAGCAGATGGCATAATGGCTACCTCGCTGGACTCCCATGTAGTCGGCCGCGGTTCAAGTCCCGGACCCGGTGGCTTAAACTCACTCGGGTCGCATGTGCGTGCGTGCCCAGGATCCTGAGAGGAGAATGGAGAAGAGATTGTGGCGTGGCCATCCCCCCTGGGAGGTGATTTCTCGCTTTCTGTCTCTGTATTTTTGGCGAGCACATGCACCCTATAGCAAAAACCTCTCAAAACAAAACAAAACAAAAAAAAAGGGAAGGCCCTTAAAAGGTGACAGGAATGGGCCAGCAGCAGGTAGTGCAGTGGTTAAGGCACTGGACTCTCACGTGGCCAATCACAGTTTCAGTCTCAGACCTGGTGGCTTAGTTTCTCTCTAGTGAGTGTGCACGCTCTATAGCAAAGTTAAAAATAATAACAACAAATAAAATTAAATATATAATTCTTTAAGAAAAAATAAAGGTGACTGGGATTGGATGAAATGATCAGAGTGGGTCCTCTATGACTTACTCCTGGTAGTTCTGTAAGGAGACACAGACACATGCAATTCTTATGATATGATGTCCTGTGCTGTCTCAGGATGCTACCATTAAGGATACCCTTACCGGGGCCAGCTGGTGGCATGGTGGTAGAGGTGCTGGCCTCCCACATGGCTAACTATGGCATGAATCCTGGACCTGGTGGCTTGCTTTTTCACTTTCCTTCTCTCTTTCTCTAATTAAGAAATTAAGAAATAATCATAATAGGGGCCAGCAGGTGGCATGGTGGTTGGAGTACTAGACTCTAATGGCCATGGTTTGAGTCCCAGACCTGGTGGCTTGCTTTCTCATTCACCCTTTTTCTCTCTCTGTCTCTGGTCAAATTGAATAACAATAAATAAAATTAAATAAATAATTATTAAAATAAATAAATAATAAGTAAAATAAAATTAGGGAAAAAAAAAAGAAAAAAGAATACCCTCACCAGATATGGTCTCTTGACCTTGGATTTCTAAAACTGTGATCTAAATAAACCTGTATTTAAGGCAATTAATCTCATCAGCATCCTGTGCATCCATCTTTTCAGAGATACAGACACTAGTCTTAAATTTAGTAAAAATATATGAAAAGGTGGTATAGGAAGGACTGTCTTCAATTTTATGCCATAGACATTTTAAATTTCAGCAAATCTATATAAATGCACCTGTGGTATATTTTTTTATTAGCAAAATGTATGGTCCTGTTCAAAATGTATGGTCCAGATATTCTTGCTCACAAGGGATGCTACAGAACAGATATCTTCTGGTTCTCACGTGAATAGCACTAAACAACAGTACACAATTAGCTCATTTGCTCAGTTAGGTGCACTTTGAAGCTCATGTACCCTGCAGTCCATGCAGCACACGAGACATGCTGGCATTTATGTCGATGGCTATGGCCACCGGGTGGTAATATCACCCTTTACAAATGCACACAAAAGGAGTCAGGTGGTGTTCGGCTGTACTGCAACTGGGCCCACACGGAAGGTCTGGGTCTGTGTCCTGAGGTCTTCCAGTACATACTGGGGAGACATGCTTGTGCTCATGACCTGGGCTGGCTGGGGCGGGGTGGTGTGTGTGTGTGTGTGTGTGTGTGTGTGTGTGTGTGTGTGTGTAATGACCTGTTTGGGTGCCTTTCTCTAAAAATAGTAAAAATGTACTGAAAAAAATTGACACAGCATGGCAAAGATTCAGGTCTTAACCAAGTGGTTTTTCAAACCCTTGAGCATATTTAAAGCTTTGCAAAAAAATACAGACCAAATAATAACCCTTTCGCTGGTAAAGTGGAGTGGAATTTAACTGAACAAAATTATGTATCAGATGTTAAGTTTTGGGGAGGAAGGGAAGACTGATGTAACGGTTTTATTTTAAGAATCTAATTTTACAGGAAACTAGAAATGCCATCCTTGGTAACTATTTAAATTCATATAAAGTTTTTTGAATATCAACTAAAAACTATATAAGAGGGTGTAACTTTTTTCATATTCTCTTGCAAAGACACAAAACAAAGTTTTTGAGGATCACTATTCTAACATAAATAAAAGAAATCCCAACCATCTATCTTTGGGAGAGGGGAACTTATAGTGAGAGCTCCATTCTAGTCTAAATGGGAGGAGAAAACAGCATAATCAGGCCCCAGGAGAGTATCTGGGGAGACCCCTACTTGATATGGCCATGAGATTATCCTCTTTTGTTGGCTGGGCCTGATGCTACTCTGCCGGATTTGGGCTCTGACCTGACAGAGAAAGGGGAAATTATGAAAGCCTTTACACTTTCAACCTGAATTACTCCTCAAGTGACTATCAGCAGCTCAGGCTACACTGAGTTGTCACAGCCTCCTGGGGACATCTTTACTTTCTCCCCTTTCTCTTCCCCATTGTGCTAGGGTGGGCACAGGCATATGTGTCCTGCTAATTTCATGTGCATTTAAAATGACTAACAAGTGTTAAGTGTTGATTAACAAGTTAAAAAGGTGTTAAATTGCATATCTGTGCCATCCTCTGGAACTTACCTGGTTGTTTTTGGTCCAGTCTGTGGAAATGAATGAAATCCATAGGGCCTTTTTAATCTCTTGAAGTAGGCATAGGTTTAGGAGATGTTTTTTTTTTTTTTCTTGAACTCATATGAAGTGACCTTTTTCCCCCTGAATATCTTCAGCATCTGGTAAGACAAAAAGGTGAGCCCAGAAGGGCATAGGTTAGGGGAAAGAAAATGGTGGCTTGGGTGTGAAGGGTAGAGCTAAGGAGACATCTGTGCTAGGCAGAGACAGGATATCTAGTGGGAGAGGTGAGTGGGGGGCAGAGGACAAAAATAGGGAGGGAGAGCTTGGGTAGGGTCATCTGACCATGCCACTGTGCCCCTTGACCTGGTCGAGAGAGGGTCTTTCTCTTTGTCCACTGCTTGGTGCTTGTGGTTTCTGGTTTCCTGAGCATGTTTCCATGACTTCTGGGTTACTTTTGCCATGCCAAAGCCTCTAAGTTATGTCTACTCCAGCAATCATATCCTCCTTCCATACAACTCTCCACAATAAAGTAGGAGTCATGCCTTCAGCTATGTTCGGTCAGCAGGGCCTTCTTCACATCCACTGTTGGCTATGAGGAGCTTAGATCTCACAAAGCACCATTCCAATGCAATGGGGTGCTGGCTAGGCCGAGAGGTTCTAGTTGAGAAAAGCAACAGCGAAAGAGCCTTTCCAAACTGACCTGCCACCTCTCCTCATCTCCCCATTTTTAATCCTGGTTGTGCACATGGTAGAGAGGCAGGTGTTTTCAAGTCATTCCCCTCAATTCATTCTGTTACCTCCCACTCTCCACCATAACTTAGTACTCTGGATGTCTTACTGAAAACCAGCAAGAAACAGGTATGGCAGTCTCATCTGAGAAAACTAGGAACTGGAAAATTAGAAGAAAGTGAGGCATAGCACCCTTCATTGTCACTTCAGACAAGAAGGCTTTGAAATAATCCTGGGCACAGTGGGTGTGTGCATATGAGCTGGGGTTACTTAATCACAAAAAGATTAAAACAATGAAATAAGACCAAATGTATGTTTATAGATATTATATGTGGATATCTTCTGGAGATCAGATGGGGATCTTTGGAAGAAAATCTTCAAAGAACATAAGAATTTTTTGTTTTTGTTGTTTTTCTTTGAGAGCAAGATTTTTGCTATGGAGTGTTTGCACTTGCCAGAGACAGGAAACAAGAAATCACTACCCCCCACCAGGAGGTATGGCCATACCGTAATCCCTTCTCCTCTATTCTTTCAGGATTTGGGGACACAGGTGCACATGCCTGGTGGGAGTTTCAAGCCACTGGGTCTAGACCTCAAACCATGGTCAACCATGTGGGAGGCCAGAGCCTTAACTATGATGCCACCTGCTGGCTCCAAGAGCACAGAATTTTAACTTCTCATTTTGGGGATGGCAGACAAGCAGAGGTCAGAAGTAGAAGCCACCCAAGCAGAGCTTACTGTTCTATCTGCACTTCTCCCCTCTGCAGACAGCAGTAATGGCAAATCTGTAGAGACAAAGTAGATCAGCGATTGTCCATCTAGACACTGGTAGGAGAGCAGGGGGATGGGGAATGACTGCTAATGGGTATATGGTTTTTTCTAAGGTGATGAAAGTGTTCTAAAAATTAGATTGTGGTAATGGTTGCGTAACTCTATGAATGTACTAAAATTCATTGTTTTTTAAATTGTAAAAAAAAAATGACTGGGGTAGGATTTAGCTTAAAATATGATTCTAACTATAAAGAGCAGAAATCAGGTAAAGGATAAAAGCTAGAGACCTCTAATAGATGCATGAGGCTGTAAAATGTGTAAGACAGGAGGAACCAAAAGAACTAGACCTTCACCTTTTCCTTAGACTGAAGAAGCTGGCATTCCAGAGAAGACCACGTAGTCATTTGTAGAAAACAGGGTTCTGGGAGAAGAGAGAAAGAAGAGGACTGTAGGACATGAAGGAAGAACTGAGTTTGGAGATGAGAAAATATCCATAGTGTACCACCCGTGTGGCTTATGCCACAAGCTCTTGCTTTGTCATCTGCTGGGCAGGCTGAGCTGTCAAAGATTGAAGTAGCTAGACCACGGTACGAGGTATGCTTCTCTCCTCAGACTGACACTGCTCTGCCCTGGCTTCCATTTTGGCAAGAGAGGGCACTGTCAGCACCTTTGTTGAAGATTACTAGGCAGTGAGGACTGTATCTACCCTGATGGACAGCCGATGACCTAGTTGTCACATGAGAAAACAGTATAGTTAGAGACAGGGCCTGTGAAGGAGAAAAAGAACAGACCTGCTATGGGAATTACAGACATTGCTACTTTGAACTCAGGTTAAAAATAGTATAATCTCTTAAAAAAAAATAAAAACAGGATCTCTCTGTCTCAGTCTCCTACCTCAGCCTGGAACTACAGGGACCTGCCACAGTGTCCAGCTAAAAAAAACATAATTTTATTTCTGTTGGGTAAGAATGTAGAATAAATAACTTTGTCTCGCTCTCTGACTCCTACTCTGCTGTAAGTTAAAAAAAAAAAAAAAAGATTAGGAACCAGCAGTTGGCTTAATGGCTCTGTCATTGGACTCCCATGTTGTCGACAGCAGTTCGAGTCCTGGACCCGGTAGCTTCAACTCAAGCCGTGCACGTGTGCTTGCGTGCCCAAGATCCTGAAAGGAGAATGGAGGGGAAGGGATTGTGGCGTGGTCATCCCCCCTGAGGGATGATTTCTCGCTTTCTGTCTCTCTGTCTTTCTGGTGAATGCATGCACCTTATAGCAAAAAAACCCTCAAAAATAAATAAATAAATAAATAAATAAGCAAGCAAATAATTAATTAATTAATTTCAGACTGGCTGGACAGGGCTGGCCTGTGGCTTGATGGTTAAGAGAGCTGGATCTTATAAGTCCGGCCTAAGAGCTCCTGTTGCCTTCTTCCCATACCCCATCCTTGCCAGCAGGATTCCTAGACCTCCTGGCTTGAAAACAGGTTGGGTGTGAGTGCATGTGTGTGTGTCCTGAATCCCAAAAGGATGGAGAAATGGAGGAGAAGAGATCACAGTATGACCATGCTCCATGGGGTGGGGGTGGATGTACTTTTTCCCTCTCCCTCTCTCTCTGTCTCTCTCTCTCTGGCAAGCATACATGTCCTCTGGCAAATTAAAAAAAAAAAAAAGACTAAAAAACTGACTAGACAATATAATTGCAAGATATTAAAAAAAACTTTCATAACGTTAGAACTCAATGCAAATATTCTAAAATATTATTAGTGGTTATTTCTACCTGGAACAGGGAGAAATAAAATAACCTCCTTTCTCGACATTAATTCTCTGAGAGGCATAGTGCTTAGATTACAGTAGATATTTAGTAAATAATTGACAAACTGGGGACCAGCAGTTGGCATAATAGCTATGAAGCTGGGCTCCCATGTAGTCGACCACGGTTTGAGTCTCAGACCCAGTGGCTTAAACTCACGCTGGGCGTGTGTGCGTGCGTGCCCAAGATCCCAAGAGGAGAATGGAGGAAAATATATACACACACACACACACACACACATATATATATTTATACGTGTATATATATGAATGGATTTCTGTTAGTGTGATGCAAGTACAGATTTTCACTTCTCTATTTTCCAAATTCCTTTAATGTGCTTGTATAATTGACTACATGTTGCTGTTACTGATGTTTCTGGTTCACTCTGGCTCACTGACCATACATATTTATATCTTCTTCCTCATGAGACTCCATTAAAATGATACTAGAGAAAAGAAAATCATGACATGGAGGGAATAACAGGAAGGTCATCCTTAGCCGAGAGGTTACATTTCTACAAAAAGAAAAAGTGCTGGAGTAGTAGCTACTGAAGAAAAAGGGCAGGGGAGAGCCACAACATGCAAGACAGGACAGCATGGCCTGACTTTTCTGTAGATGCTGGGAGCATCTCAGGACAGGGGAGCACAGGTTATACCAACCGTGAGCTACTGAGAGGGTGAGTACCACAGAACTTAGAGGGCAGAAGTATCTTCGTGATATTATTCTAATGGTTTAAGAATAGGGAGAAGGAGGAGGAAACAGGGCAGTGTTCTGGCTTTCAATTATTTTGGGTTGTTATTATTCCAGCAGAGTCCTGCCCACCTGGAAGCTTGGATTCCTTTAGGATCTGGGAAAATTATCAGGGCAGTTATACAGGCACAGACTTAGCTGCCTCATTAAAAAGGCATCGGTGACTGGCAAATTTTAAGACAAAACTTGCCTTTACAAGGAGTACCCTGTCTACTGCATTGGATAAATTTAACCCTTGCTACTGCTTCATTTTCTGTTGTAACAGATTGGAAGATTAAAAGTAGCCCAGGCAGCTGTTCCAACCTACACTAAATCTTAAAATTCCAACAAAATGATTAATCTTACTTGCTGAGGTACTAGAGGGCAAAAAAAAGTATAATGAATGGAAATAAGAGGAAAATCAAATTTTGGCTCAATAAAAGGAGGAGCTTCCTAACAATCAAGGCAATACAAATCTGGAACAGGCTTCTCTGGGAAGTAGTACATTGAGAACCTATGTGCTAATTAGAGTTATAAAACAACCAACAGCCTCTCAGGTCCAGGCAAGTTTAATTTTATAACATATTGGGAAAAAGTTTTGTCTTCATGTCACTCTGAGTAATGCATCAGGTTATCACTCCTTAGTGTCACTGACACTTCTCTGCCAGACTGTCAGTGTGGGCTGCTATACCCAAGTAGAGTAGACTGGATGGCTTAGGAACAATTTATTTCTCACAGTTCTGGAAGCTAGAAGTCCAACATCAGGATGCTAGCATGACAGAGTTCTGGTGAGAGGTCTCTTTTGTAGATTGCTGAATTATTGTCTCTTCACATGGTGGAAAGACAGAGAACTAGTCATGTGGCCTCTTCTTGAAAGGGCACTAATCCCAGGAGGGTGGGATTCACACTCTTGACCTGATTAGCTCCCAAAAACCTCACCTCCAAATACCATCACAATGTGGATTAGATTTCATTAAAAAAAAAAAAAATTATTTATTTAAATTTATGTGTTGTTATCATTTAATTTGCTACAGGGCATGTGGGCTCACCAGAGACAGACAGAGAGAGCCCGAGAGGTAGAGGGAAAGTGACAAAGCAAGCTGCCAGGGTCTGGGACACAAACTGCAGCAGGCCAGGTGGGAGTCCAGCACCCCAACCACCACCCCCACCACCTGCCGGCCTGTGAATTAGCTTTCAACATATGAATTTGAGGACATGGGCTCCAACATCCATAACAGACCCCATTTCTGATTTTGGTCCCACTTCTGCCTTACAAGACTAAATGATACTTTTTTTCTTAAAATGTAAATATTTTTGCCCCTAAAAGTATTGTGTGTCACCATCCTGTTTTGAGCAAAGGGTCAAATATTTCTTAATTCTTTCTTCTTTTAACATAAACTATACCACAAGTGTGAATAAATTATTTTCTGACCATAATGGCTTTAAAAGTAGGACAAATACTGAAATATCACTTCAAGTTAAAGTAAGTAATTGAATACAGAGACAGAATAAAGATAGGACACAAATAGTTTAGACTCATAAAAACACAAATTACAATGACTCCTTGTCCTCTAATCAGGGTTTCCAAATCTGTTTTACGCTCATGGAATATGAGAGAGAGAGAAACCCTCCAATCCTTTTTCCTCCAATTATCTTTTTTTTTTTTTCTTTGAGAGAGATTTTTGCTATAGGGCACGTGCGCTCACCAGAAAGAGAGACAGAAAGACAGAAAGTGAGAAATCACCCCCCAGAGGGGATGGCCACGCCATAATCACTGTGCCATCATTCTCCTCCGGGGATCTTGGGCACGCATGCACATGCGCCCAGAGTGAGTTTAAGCCACCAAGCCTGAGACTTGAACTGCAGTCGACTACATGGGAGTCCAGTGACACAGCCATTATGCCAACTGCTGGTCCCCAATTGTCCATTTCATCAGGATCCTAGGCATAGGTATGCAAGCTTGGCATGCTTTTTTCAAGCTGCTGGGGTTGGAACTTGAACTCTGGTCAGTCATGTGGGTACAGTTTCCTCTGCACTGTGTTTTACTGCCTTGCTACAAGGTTAGCACTGACCAAGTATTAACTGGCTAGAGTTGCTATGACAAAGGTACCATTAAAATTTTAAAATAAATTGCCAGAGGGTTGGTGTGCTCACCAGAGAGACGCAGAGAGAGGAAGAGAGAGAAAGAACCCCTTAGTGTAGTGCAGTTACACTGTAATCCCTTCTCCTCCTTTCTCAATCTTGTTGGGATTTTAGGCACGCACATGTATACACACGTGCCTGGCGTGTCTTTCAGGTCACCAGGTCTGGGATTTGAACCACATGGTTGGCCACGTAGGATCTGACTCTGGCAACTACCAGGCAAGGGAGATAGCAAAAGCACCACAAACTTAACAACTAAGATTTACTGTCACACAGATGTGGAGTTTAGAAGTCCGAGATCAAGGTGTGAGCATAGCTGGTTCCTTCACAGAGCTGTGAGGAAGACTCTTTCCACACCTCTCCCTAGCTTCTGAAGCGCTGCTGGTAATCACTGCAGTTCCTTCATTTGTAAAAGAATTATCCTAATCTCTACCCTCATCTTATGGTTAGCATATTATTCCTGTTTATGTGTTGTTCAAATTCCTCCCTTTTATGAGCAGATCAGTTACATTAGATTAGGGACCTACCCTACCCCATCTTAATTTGACTTTTCCGTAACTAATTACATATGCAATGATTCTATTCCCAAATAAGGCCACAATCTGAAATATGAGGGTCAGGTCTTAAACATATAAATTTGGGGGTTATATGATTTAACCCATAATACAGCATAGTATGTTTATATTTACTTAATTATAAATTATTTATAAATAATACTATAGTAAGAATTATAGACACTGTAAC